CCTCCAATCCTGACATCTGACTGCTCAGTACTGTTTCCCTTCCGGCAATCACTGAAATGCAGAGGTCAGCCGTGCTTAGTGGCACTGAGCCAAAGACACCTGAGAGAAATGAGGGGACATTCACAAAACGCTCACCATCCCTGAACTGCTGGACCTAAGGCACACAGGCACGCTGAGATGGGAACATGGATTTCAAGTCTATCCTGGGTGTTGGACCCACCTGGCTCCATTCTTAAGAATGTCCTGACCAACTACCTCCCCCTCTGGTTTTCTTTCACTTTCCAGGTACCCCTCAACCCATTTCTGGAGGCCTCACTGACGACACCTGGGCCTCACTCTAGTTAGGAGGCTATGCCCTCCAGAAACGCCCCAAAAGTGCTCGGTAGGGCTCCAATCAGGATCCCATGACCTATGAATATTTAACAGAGCTGGCTAAAGACAAAGGGCCACCAAAAAGAGACAAGCTGAATAAGGACATCTGGATAATAACCCAAGAATGGCAAGAGGACAGCGGACAAAGGAAAGGTGGTCTAACCCAGCACAAACATGCAGAGCTATCAAAGGCCAGAGAAGAAAGATGGACATGAGAACAGGAATGAGCCCAGGGAGCGGGACCTAGAAACAAATCTATCCAAACACTTGCAGCCCTGGAGTTTCTGAGGGAAGGACAACTGTTTAGGAAAAAGGGCCTCGGCGAAGGGGCCACTGGAGGGACTTGGCAGGGGAAGTGAGACACTGGGGGGAGCTGTGGAAAGAGAAACTGGAACATCTCTTTGGAGCAGGCAGTTTGAGGGGATGCCATAGACGTGAGCGAGGACCAGAGGACAAGCAGCTGGAGCTCCCAGACGAGGAGAGGAGTGCATGGGCTAACAGGGCAGAACCTCTGGACGCCCCCCACCGAGCTACTTCCAGGCACACCCATCGCCACTCCGTCGCAGTGCACTGGTCACTGGGAGTCGTTCCCCATGGCCCTTGCCAAGTTCTGCATTCGATTTTGCAGGGCTGAAGACCCCGAGGCAGGACACTTACAGAAGACATAGCCTCGTCCCTGGGGAGTTCACATCCTATAAGGAGACAGAAAACCACCAACCACTCACCTCCCCATCCTTGAGGAGGGTCTCTGATCTAAGGATCTATCATGTATGTGTCACAAAACTGAGGAACAAATAGCAGTTGGTACAAATTAATATTGCCTCTGAAGTGTGATGAGCCAGAGGAGAGAAGGGAGGTGAAGTAGCTCAGACACCGGGAAGACCTAAGCTGGGATTCTCCACACTTTAAGACTCAGCCTTTTAGTTAACAGCACTCTGGCTCACAGCTCTGGGCCAGGGTCTTCAGAGCTCACCATATAACCAACTGCACTGACACAGGTAAAAGAACCAGCCGTTGGTGGTCTAGCTGACAAGTGCTTCTCTCAACAGCCCAGGGGCTTGGAGGGGACTGGAGGTAGAACTTTTGCTCTCCACTGACCTTTCTCAACCTGCCCAAGGGCCCGTCCACTCATCCACACAGGTGCACAACACACGGATGGCTCTAGAACCGCTGGTGGTTTCGTGGTTTCCTCTCCAACTGAGCAGACGCTCTTAGAGTTAGATAAAGGGCAGGTTTTCTTCAGGTCCTGCCATGCTGGAATGTAACAAATACTTGTCACAGGTGAGGTACGGGGGTACTATCATCAAAACATCTTCCACAAACAAGCCAACGCATGTCAAAATCTTCTACTTTTATTCTGTGCCCTATACTTGAATGTGACACCCACCTCTCTCTGCTGGCTCCTGCTCAAAGCTGTCTGTGCTCATATCCATCTCAGGATGGGTACTGGGCCCCTAGTCTTCATTAAGAAACGCAAGTTCCGCCCACTTGTGGAAATACTGAAAGGGTTTGTGGCCCAGGGGTCTCTGGGGGCAGAGGGTGGGAGTGCCTCCCCACACTGGGCTGGCCCATTGATAAGGATCCTTCCCTTCTCTGTCTCCTAACAGATTCAGATTAATGATCGCTCATTCCTAATTGTCAAATTTCTTTTCCTTCATCCTGTGTCTAATCACCAGTGACAGAAACCATTACGCAAATGAGAGCAGACGACTTCCCCCAACTGTTCGCGTTGGTAAAAACCTTGTAATTTAGAGCTCTGATTTGTAGGGGAAGCTGGTCTCCCCCAGGCATCCTGGGCATCTGCTCAACTGATGCCCAGAACAGCCCCTCCTCCATCCCCCGAACTCTAACCCCCCAACAAATATTTGACTTCACAAAACACAACAGTGGTTTTCTCAGGACCTGCTGGTGTAAAGCAGGAGCTTGCAACGTGACTGACCTGTGTGCAGGTCCAAGTCCCCACCTTCCCTGCACGTGTCTGCCTCCCGTGCTGCCAGCTAGGAGAGGGTAAGCGACTGCAGTAGAAAAGTTTCCTCTGCTGCAAGCAGGATCTGAGCTAAACAGCCCTGCTCCAGGGAAGCATAGGGAAGGGCCTCACTCTCTTCCTTGAGGAAGAGTAGCAGAGCATGAATCAAGACTCAATGACCACCTCAAACTAGAGCTTCAGTCCACAGATGCAGAGGTATGCTGGGAGGCATTATGGGGCAATCCTGGGACACACAGCAAAACAACTGGATCTGGAACTCAGTTCCTGAATAGCTTCTTTCAACACTCTGAACTCATTATGGCTTCCTGGGCAATTTTCTTAGGATGTCTTTAGCTAAAGCCCCGAACAGGTCTCACCCTGAGCTATATTTATATTCTCTGTGCCTTCCTAGCCTGAGCAGGCCTGCAGATATTGCCTAGTGGGCTGGGAGCTGAGGGCAGGGCCTGTGTGCATGGGAGGAAAATCGACACAGGCTGGCGGAAAGGGGGAAGAGGGGGGCTGCAACAAAACGATACTAGGTGAGAATTCTGATTGCCCCTAGACACTTAATTTCTCTGAGCCCATTTCTTCCTCTGTTGAGAGAGAATGCCTACCTTACAGGACAGTGAGGAACAGCGATAAAAGCACTAGGTACATATTAGGTATCTAAAATTCAGGGATCACTTGCTATTCTATTACCCGAGGATCAGGACAATGCCGTGAAGGTTGCAAAACTAGCCCTACTTCCCGCTCCCTTGCCCACCACAGGTCAGGCCTATGCCAAGGCAGCACCCAGCAAAGATCCACTAGGGAGGGAGGGTGTGAGTGGCACACCTTCCCTACTGCACGCCACCCACGCCTGTGCCGAGCTGGGCTGAGAACTTTCCAAGGGTCCCTGTGGGCAAGTGTATCCCCTGCCTTGCTTCCTTCACTGTGTCCCTCTTTCCCAAGATGGAAGGATGGTAACCACTGCAGCCACGTTTCCCAGCACTGGCCATCGGAAGA